AAATTGTTTGTAATGTTCAAAATTTATAAACGTTCCCGGTCCAATATCTGAAGCTTCCCGATTAATAAGTGTTAAGCACAGTTATAGCTTACAGAGTTTATAGTACACCAATTACAGCAAACCAATAATAGATACCCTTTTTAGGCGCGTCGCGTTGGTTATATTTATGGGCATGTGGAGAGTTTCTCGCAATTTCAGATTACGTAACAATACAAAGCTACATTAGCGTTTACGTACACACACACATATATTGTTGATTCTTACACTCGAGAATCTTCTACAACTTTAGAGAATAGGCGGGAGTTTCGCAATACTTATTTAACAGTATAATTTATGTACATTTCTAAATATAAATTAAATTTAAACAAGCATCGAGATTAAAATAAATATAGAATAATAAATCCGTCACACACTTTGACAAAAAAAAAGAAAGTCGGCTTTTCCAAAACGCCCAGGTTATTGTTTTTATTGTGGTTTATTTTATTGAGCTTGCAATAGAACTGTGAATTCTCATAAAGAAACAGTTAATAGACAACTAATCAACAAAGTAAACCATTTTGAAAGCAATATAGAAAACAAAATATAAATTTAGTCTTAACTTAACAAAAGTTGAAATGAAATAAAACCATTGAATTATCTGTAAAATAGCTCATGATGTTTTTTGTTGTTATTGTTTTGATTCAGAATTTTCGCGCATAGCTACTCAAAGGATATCTGCGCATAGCCGTACGGAAGACGAAGAAAGCTTTGTTTCTTAGTCGTTTAATTAAATACAAAACTATCTGCTCCAGTTGTCCCTAATTTTGAAGCAATAGACTAAATGGTGAGTAATACCATCCTCCGCCAATACTTGAGCTGCTCTTGTCAAATTAAATAATGAGAATTGACGTTACTCTTATATATGCCCCCATGGCCTCAAAGTGCGGAGTGTGATGTATTTTTGCCGGTAACGGGATGCGAACCATAGATCCACAGTTCGGCACGATAATCACCAGGCTACGCTCATTCAGAAGGGAGGGAGGCTAGTCGCCAGTACTCACCACTAATTCTAGGGCAACTCTTCTGTAGTCGAATAATGTGATTATAGGTTACCTCAAAGAGGGGGAGAGCATTTTGGCGGCAAAGTGCTGCGAACCATGAATCTTCTAATTTACAGCCCGGCACTCGAACTATTGGATACACCCAGCCCCAGTCACAGTAGAACTGAAACAACGGAACGAATCCTCAATTATTAGTTTTTCACTTGATGTTGCAGTCACTAGTGGATTGTGGGAAACTTTCAGCTCAAGTAATTTGAAAAATCAATTTACATTCTTAGAATTTATATTTATTCTTATCAAATCAAACGATAACATTTTCTGCGTATGAACGCCTGAAGCTGCGAAGTATTAAACATTGTAAATCACTCTAGGCCTAATAATTGTAATAAAACTTTATAAACTAACTAAACGATAACATTTCCTGTTGTTCAACGCCAGAAGCTGCGAAGTATTAAACATTATAAATCACTCTAGGCCTAATAATTGTAATAAAACTTTATAAACTAACTAAACGATAACATTTTCTGGGTATGAACGCCAGAAGCTGCGAAGTATTAAACATTATAAATCACTCTAGGCCTAATAATTGTAATAAAACTTTATAAACTAACTAAACGATAACATTTCCTGGGTATGAACGCCAGAAGCTGCGAAGTATCAAACATTATAAATCACTCTAGGCCTAATAATTGTGATAAAACTTTATAAACTATCTATAATTTTATCACTTCACAGTTACGTGTTAATACAGTATAGAGTAGTGCTTTACATACTTTTATTTAGTGACACAGCGGTTTGTCTGCGGACTTACAACACTAGAAACTGGGTTTCGATACCCGTGTTGGGCAAAGCACAGATAGTCTATGTGTAGTTTTGTGCTTAGCTTCAAACAACCAAACCAACCAAATATTTCTTGCACTTTCCCTGCCAGACATGGCATAGAAGTTAGCTTGCTGGACTATAAATAAGAAGCTCCACGGTTCGTGTCCCGTTGCAAGCAAAATCGCATTCTGCACATTCAAGTCGTGGATGTGTTATAGGAATGGCGGTCTAGTCCCACTATTTGATTAATGTACCTCAAGATTAGCGATGGTCGTTGTTAAACAGTTGCCTTTTCTCTAGTGTATCAGTTCTAAATTAGAAATGGATAAGAACTAAAATCCCTTGTGTAGCTTTGCATGTATATTTCAAACAAACTTATACCAGTCTACTATAGTGAAAATATATGTAGTAATCAGTTCTAGAAGATTCCACGCTCTCTGCTTATCTGAAAACTGACCATTCTCAACATGGTTAGACGCAGTTCATATTCGAGAACGTATTTTTAAAGAAGTGGCGTGGTTAGGGACAGGTTTGATCGGGCCCACTGAGCAAATTGCTACTAAATTCTCCATCTATAAATGTACAAAAAAATCTAGTATGTTGTGGTATAGGTGGTAAGTAAAATGAATAGGGGAATAAATAATAAACGGAATTACGCATTAGTACGTAATTGAGTATATGATTTAGTGTGTTAGGTTAAACACTCCCCTTGTGTACAAAACTGTTGTAATGAGGTAATTCTATGCAATGGAATTCTAGAACATTATACAATTATTTGGCCACAGACGCCGGTTTTTCCGCGACACTGTTTTAAAGAATCATGCAACAGGTTGATGTATACGTAAACAATATTTTTAACAAATACGAATACACTATGCTGTCTAATCTAACAAGAAAACTACAACGAAAACTTAGCGTTTCCACAAGGCTTAGCAGTCACAAATCGTTCGAAAATAGGGCTGTATTTTAAGCAAAACAAAAACAAAAAACTATACTATAAATTAATTTAGCTGTGTGATAAACGAGCATGTTTTCTACTTGGTGATATGGAATTTTTTAAAAGTTGTCGCTTATTTAGTTTTCCTGCTACAACGGCGGTAACAAGTAGTCAAGAAAATCGTTAATGTTTCCTTACTATAGTTGCTTCGTTTCTTTGTTCTCTTTACTAGACGATGTCTATTCTGCCCGAGAGGACATTACAGTAATATATAGCATCCGGGTTAGAAGGATTAGCACTGTAATATCATTCGCTGGCCGATTATAACGTTGATATAATGTGACAGCTGATCAATGCTGTGAGGGAACAAAGGTAGGTCACAAGGTAACATTGTGGCCTGGACAAAGAAAGTGAGTTCACCTGTTCTTTAACTAGTTTTCTACTAAGACATCGTCCACTGAAGACTTATTTCAAGAACAATGGGTTTAATTCTACGAAGATTAGTTTTCTCAGGGAGAGAAAGCTATGAAGCTAATATCACAGCTTA